GGTTAATCGCATTTTTCCTGTACAATTTACTATTTATTGCAGCTTTAAATAGTTAAACAATGTTAAAAACTGTTCATTATTATTTAAATTATAGTATCAACATGTGTATTAATTGTAATAATAAGAAATTTTTATTTTTATTTGACTGTTTAAAAAGCGTGTTCGTAGAAAAAATATAATATGCAAAACACTATTTTGACTTCTTTAACTCTTTAGAGTTGTAATAACGAGTTGCAGAGGTGGCTTCTTTCCACATAATTTTTTTGTCATTCATTCATGCATGACTTCCTATCTTTTACTACAAACGAAACACGTTCTTTACCTTACACCTGTCTTGTGACCTTCTTAAGATATAATACTCTACCCAGCTAGCGTAACGACTTGAACAGGTATTCAGATAAGGGACCCTCTTTTCCTGGTTGTGTGACGTCATCTATTCATAAAGTACCCTAAAGAAAGTCTTAAGCTTTTTTTAAGAAGAATGTGATAGATGTATACACGGGTAATGAAGAAATAAAACTAGGAATGGTATTTAAATTGTGCAGGCTAGGATTGTACTAATATAATTCTGTTGTTTATTTAAATGTTGTAGATTTTCGTTAGTGGGTCGTAGAAAAAATATATTTTACAACTCGAGTGGATTATCCGTATGGCACGGCGTTGTGATCAAACGTCGTCTTTGTGGGATATAACCATCACATCGACTTTTGTTATTACAAACTACTATTTCAAATAAGACTAAAAAAAACTTAAACCTTTTAACACTTTCGCTGCCTATGATCGTTCATTAACGTCATGATAGTTCTTTACTCCATGCCCATGACGTTTTGTAACGTCATATGCTTCGATGAATGTAGACAAGCCGCTGTGCAGTAAATTGTCTTTATAACCCCATAGGGATATGAAAACGTTCTTAAATTAGTGCATTATCAATTTGGTTGTGATCTAATCTAAACCTTTAAATCCATCTCTGCCTTATTTGGACCTTTTATGGCTTCCATTTTCCCGTTATCAAGAATATTTGATGAAATAAGTCAACCTCCTAAACCTATCACATGTTACGCCTATGGATCACCTAGTCGAAGAGTGTTTTGGAATTGTGATGAATCTTCTAAAGACTTTGATTTTGGCAAATTTACTATCCTAGAAAATGATGGGATCGGTGATGTATAATCTGGTAGGTGCGAGAACATTCAGGTTGGTCACACTTTTATATAAATGGGGTGAGTCAGTTCAAGTCGAGAGATCATTCAGTACAAAAAAATATTGTTAATAAAAATTAGTATATATGTATTTGATGTATGAATTAGTTAGTATACACAAATTAGGGTAGCGTCTTAATGTAAATTAATTAAATAAACTGTTTTAAATAAATAAAACGTTATAAAACTATTTTTAAATTTTTTAATTTTTCAGTAGAGCCCAGAATACTCAAAGCCTTGTAATAAAACTCTGTGCCTACATAATGTTAAATAATCAAACATCTTGTATAATTTTACGAAACTTCTTGAACCCTTACAACCATTACGACTTTCTTGAGAGCGCTTCATGAATGGAAGACGTCACCAACCAGGAAAAGAGGGTAGAATTATCTGAATAACTGTACAAGTAGTAACGCAAGGTAGGGTCTCTTAAGAAGGTCACAAGACAGGTGTAAACTAAGATACGTGTTCTGTTTGTATTAAAATACAGGAAGTCATGAATGAATGGCAAAATTAATAAAAGAGGATATGCAATTAATTCTGGATATTATAATTTTTAATTTATAAAATTTAAATAAATATTGCTTGGCTATTTTAATTTTTTTAATTTTGTAATTGAATTACACTCGACATGTGTATAAGGAATAAGGAGGAAGTAAACTAGGCAAATAAGGTGGTGTAATTGACACTGGTGCCTACTGCACCTACAGCGAATAAAAGAACCTATTCTATTTCTTTTTAGTGTTTTTAGTAAGAAGGATATATTTTGGCGTTTGGTATGTGATCCTACTTACTTTGGATGTACTACTTTCGCCTTTTGTCATATCGCAGGCATTGCATCCAGAGTTTGCATATTATGTGTGTCATGAATACAACCTTTCCCTTTTAGAGTAGTATTGGATAGGTATATTTCATCCAGTTCATTTGTACGGCTGGAATTTACTGATAGCTCAATAATTAATCCTATATGATCTTGTGATTTCGGAGGCCACCTTCCTGATTCGATCCCTGAACCCCTTTTGACTGTGGCTCTCTTGATCGCTTAGGTTCAGACTTTCCTATAGTGTCTTAGTATAGGTATAATAGAGTTTTTTGAAAAAACCGAGATAAGTAAATGTACGGTCTTTGGCTATAACTCTGTAACTTCTAGCACTTGGTATCTATTGAATAGCCTTCGCACCTCGCTTCTGTTGCTCTCTATAGATTCTTATTTCACCAGACTGTCTTTCTATTTTAGAATATCTTTTTCGGTACAGTATTCTTGGTAAGCATCAGTAATTGCTTTGTTTAGAGTTCTAATAGATGTATATGGAATCATTTTTTATTGTGATATGTGATAACCACAATAATTTTGAAAATAACATATCTATACAATTTTTTTTACTAAACAAATAATTATTTAGATTTATTTTCCTGTGAAGTTAACATTTTAAAACTTGTATCGGACTTTTAAAATATATTCACATAATTACCTAAAATATACGTACTTCCTTACTACCTAATGAATAAACATTAGAAATATTACCTGAGATGCATATCAATTGTGAGTCACCCTTGTTATCTACGGCATTATATTTTTTTAAATTTTACTACATCGGCCTCCCCTTTGCAGCCACGTGCTAAAGGAATTTAAAAGCATGCACACGCGTACCTTGTGGACGTAAAATACGAACTCAAATAGGGGTATATTGTTACTTTGTTGAATACCTTTATGAAAAAGGTGAAAATTATGACCTGTAGACGCTACATCTGCTACGAAGGGTTGAAATTGTGATTGTTTTTTGAACATCCGTGTACAAGAGATATGTACCTTAGTTGATGGTTTGTAAATAATATCTTCCCGTTTCAGCTGTTTATACGAAATATGTTCATTGGGTAGAAAGCAAAATATGAATTAATCCATGAACTACCATAATTGTGATTCTGGTGTTTTTTTCGGGATAAGGACGCCATTTTAGTGTATTTTATATGGTCGAAACAGAGGTTTACAATTTTATACAGAACTTATCTTTTTCTGTATATATTTTAGTGAACTTTGGCAGCTTATGGTAAAATGTTTAATGATTGAAATAAGACAATTTCATGTGTCCAGCTAATTATTAAATACTAAAAAAATCACAGATGCAGTTAAAAAAATACATAATTCTACATATTTTTGTTAACAGTTCGTTTGAAGGGTTTTTAAGGATTTCGCTTAATTTCTGGATAATTTAAAGTGATAACAGTAATGTTAATGTTAATTATGCATATTTGTTAAATATAAAATTACTCACTTAATCGGTCTTGTTATTTAAAATTTTTAAGGGGGTTTAAAAGTACGCTACCCGCCTAAACATGTTTTTATCAAGGAATCAAATTCGGATGTAATGTTAATAAATCAGCGCATTGATGGTGGAGTAATTAAGTGAATTTCGAGTGGCCATATGGCTGTAAGTAGATCCGTCGACATTAGGCCGTTGTTAGTTGTAGTATGGGTGCTCCCCCATCATCAAATGTACCGGCGATACCGACACTTTTTCGCATAATCAAAGAGTGCCTATGGTCGATTAATCTCGTAAATATTTGTTTAGTACTGTTTCACTGATTACTGTTTTTAGAATGACTATTTTTAGTTTGTGAATATCGATAAGTTCGAAGCAAAATACGTCGCAACGTCTATGTCCGTCCACTTATTTATTGGATTATATAATAATATACAGGGTAGCGAAAGTTTGACAACATGGTATTTTCTTTGAAACGAATGAATATATACCTAACAAGCATTCTTGCGATCATTTGTCAAACTGATTGGGGATACCAGAAGTCAGAAAAAGTCCTGACATGTCCGGAATTTTGGCGTTTTGTCCGGAGTGCGCCGGAAATTATAAATTTTCCGATATTTTCAGGAAAATCATTAAAGGATATACTTAATTTCCGTATAAACAGTTAAAATTAAGTTTTCTTTTATTTTTCCATAGTTCATTTTTTTAAAACGGTTTTTGTTTGTGTAGTTGTGTTTGTACCTACATGTCCTCAGTCCTGGATTTGTCAATAGGCTGAATAGGCGTAGGGGCGGCAGCGTCCTAGGGGCGGCAGATTTCAGAGGACGCTCTCTCGATTTCAGAGGATAAAGGTCAAACAAGTTTATTGGTATTCTCATGGTTTTTTATACTAATACGTTAAATCCCTATAAAAACTCATTCCTATCGAAAATTATCAATCATAGGTACCTACTGTTATTGTACCTATTTTATCTATATTACGATGATTTGGTTCAAGAAAGTGTGCATTTTCACAGTCACATTTCCTCTAATAAAACTGCACAGTGTGCAGTGAAGTCTGGATCAAACACTACTGTCTCTTAACGTTTTTAAGGAATCGGTATCTGTCTAATGTTTACCCTAACTTGGATATAGCTCTCCGCATCGCACTTTCCACTCCGGCTACAAATGGTTCTTGGAAAAGGAGTTTTTCCTGCTTAAAACGCGTGAAATATTATCAAAGGTCTTCATTGTCTCAAGAAAAAATGAATTCTTTAGCTGTTCTCCACATAGAAGCAGATGATGATGATATTATAGGCGATTTTGCTATTAAAAGGTCCCGTTAAAATTGTAATTGTTTTATGTTTAATTTTATGAATTTTTAATTGAGTTTTGTTCTTAGTTTTTGATGGTTGTTAATTGCTTTAATAAAACGTTTAGTAATTATTTCGTGAATTGGAGTTTTTTATTTTGTCCGGATTTTTAAAGAAATATCCGAAATTTTTATTAGGAAGGCAAAAAATTGTATTTTTAAAAATGGTAACCTTATACAACAATGACAAATAAAACAAATAATCACATGTAAATGTATGTTATATAAGTATATAAAAATAAATATTATCTGGACCACATGATAGTAACAAACTCTTCGTAATTGATTTGACCTTCGGCGTTGACCTCCATTTCTTTCATCATTTCATTGACCTCTCTCATTGACATTTTCTCTCCTAAAGTTGTCATAATATGCCGCAAGTCCTCTGAAATTATAATTGCTATTGCTCTATTTTTCTTACTTACATCAGAACATTTTTTAGTAATAAAAATTTAAGGTACAAAAAGTTTTACCCAAAGAAATATATCCATTTCCGTCTTTGTCAAAAATCCTGAAAGCTTCCCTCAATTCTTCCTCGTCTCCAGCATTTTTCATCTGCATTGCTAGTAAGGTTAAAAATTCTGGAAAATCGATTTTTTCGTCCTTTCTATCAATTTCACTAATGAGATCGTTTAATTCCCCTTCTGTAGGATTCTGTCCTAATGATCGAATTAAGGTACCCAAATCTTTAGTTGGGATCAAACCATCATGATCTTTGTCGAAAAGGTTAAATTTTTGCTTAAACTCTTCTACTTGCTGTTCAGTGAATTGGTCAGCCATTTTGGGGTCATTACTGACGACAAAACTATAATCACTTAGCTGTGACATATTGCAAAAATAATAAATTTATTTTAAATGCATGTATCCATAGTAGCTGGAATATATGACTACAGAGAGTCTTCAATAATACCCGTATCTCACGTGACCACATCGGCATGACAGCAGTTGTGAAAATGAAAGTAAAAATCCCTAGATTATGGTTGAAAGTAAAGCGGGACTTGTGGTGATTTTAATAGACACATATTTGTATAAAATAAATACTTTTTACCGAAATTGTCAAATTGTTTTTCTGTTGATAATCTATGATAGAATAATAAAGATTTAAAAGGAAATTATTTAAAACTTGTCTTATCTTTTCGTTTTCAAACCCATCAAAAAAATAAACTTATTTTTTGATTAAATGGTTGTATGTGGGACAATTTGAGGTATATAGTATTTATTTTTTCGTGTTAGGCATACCAGTAGTATATATAATAAAAATGGTAACAGGGCAAAAGCCAGTCGTCGAGTAGAATTAGAAGATATGGTGGTGGGATATTAGCCAAACCGAAAGTCAGTCACAAAGCCAGAGAGCATAGCGATAGCGGAGATATCGTAATTGCTACATGTTAGCTATGAAAGCACGGCTATGCCTAATACAAAATAATAAGACTATATATAAGAATCTAATAAAATTTAATAATATGGATACCTAATAACTAACTTTAAGTAACATTTCTCTTGTTTTATCTAAAATCATCTCTTGGGCCTATGGTTAATACCTCTGAAGATAGCGGGTGAGTTTGAAGTAAGTAGTAGTTTTACAGCATATACGCGATCTGTTAAACGTCACCTCTTATGTCAACTGTCAACTACTAACAACCTTATAGTTTACGCATTGTTACGAACTATGATGTCGGACTATTCTAGACTAGCTGAACTTCGGAAAAATAGAATTGAAGAATATAGTTAAAGTTTTTCTATTTCTTGTTTGTAAACATTTTAATTTAATAAATTATTTAAATGTTATTTACTTACCGCACGTTTAAATATAAAGAAATTGTCGAAGTACGTACCTGAAAAAAAAAAAAGAGAACATTAGTTAAGCTTTTTTAAATAGAAATGAAAAGTAGCTAAATGAGATGTAGGGCATTTAGAGAGAAATTCAAAGCTCAATCAGTTGAAGAGATATTTAATTAAAATATGGACCGCACAAATACAATATCCAAAAAAAAACTTGAAAAAATCCTTAAATATGTTGAACCAAACCTTGGAAACTTATTATTAAATTAAAAGAGAGGGTGAAAAGTGGAAGGTGGCAAATTTTACGGAGATAAAGTGAGGAAAGGGGTTATAAAAATGATATGTACAAAAGAAACCTTAATTACCTAATTGATTCACTAAATTTTATTAATTTAAATGATAGCATTCCAACTAGAGTGCAGAATAATTCAAGAACTTTAATTGATTATGTTTTGTTAAATGATGGATACTGCAGTAATTTGGCTGTTATTGATTACTGTTTGAGCGATCATAGAATACAGATATTGCAAGAAAAACAATGCAATTCAATTAGCAATGAAAAATATTATGTAGGATTCCCCACTCTACCATTCCCTGTTGAGTTCTAATTAACAGTGCTGTTCCTAAAGTGGCGCGGGGAAACAGTAACAAAGCCTACACAACACGAGGCTAATGGCCTTAGTAGTGCCGATGACACCAAATTTAAAAAAAAATGTCTTAAGTTAAATAGGTTAGCATGTAGAAGAGATCTTCAAGGTATAATTAACACTGTGTGGCAGGATCCAAATGTCTTGTGTGATCAAATAGTGAGAACAATCCAAAGCAATACCACCTGTAGGACATATAAAGACCGTTTTAAAACTAAAAGTTGTCCATGGTTTAACATTCATTTGCATAACCTAATCAAGCACAGAGATAAGTGTTATAAAAGGCATAAGTTTTTTCCCAATAGGGCTCTACTTCACAGTGAATACAAGAACAATCAAACTATCTTGAGAGCAGCTATATCTAATGCAAAAAAACAATCAGCTAACAAGTCAGGTAATCCAAGAAAAATATGGTCAGTGTTAAACTTGTTAATTCATAATAAAATATCAAAGCAACAAAACACAGTTAATAAACTACAAGTAGAAGATGACTCTATAGAAGTCTACTTACACGAAACCTACCGTTATAAACCGTCAACTATATCAATGGGAGTTAACTACTCCTCAAGAAATCAACAAAGTAATTTCAGAGTTAAAATCGAAAGAAGCCTGTGGTGCTGATGGGGACTTGATCAAACATTTCAAAAACGAGATGTCGGTTATCTTAAGTAACCTAATAAACTTAACGTTCACTCATGTTTCAATTTCCAATGGACTAAAAGTAGCTAAAGTTTTACCATTATTTAAAGGAGGGCTAAGAACTTCCACTAATAAGTACCGACCGATATCTCCATTAAGTTCTATCTCTAAAGTCCTGGAAAAATGTATTAATCAAAGGCTTGTTTCCTATTAAAAAAAAAAAGAATTTTTGGTACAAGGGACAATATGGTTTTGGTAGTGGAAGTAGCACAACGTCGGCAGTCACAGATATGATTACCAACATCGGATATCATGTGGATAAAGGCAATACCTGTATCATTGTTTTACTTGATTTAAAGAAGGTGTTTGATACTGTTAATCACTCAGTACTGTTATCTATTTTGGAAGACTGGAATAACAGGAAATGCATTGTCTTCTTCAGAGATTATTTCAATGGTCGTACACAGTTTGTAAGTAATGGAAATACCTCAAGTAAAATGGCTGATCTACAATATGGTGTACCCCAGAGGTCAATTCTTGAAACAACGTTATTCCTGATCTATATAAACTCCATAGCTCAGCTATCATTAGCTGGTTATTTGCAACTTTATGTTTATATTATAGAGCAAGATCTAATTCAAATTCTTGAGTGGTTAAAGTTTCATAAATTAACTCTGAATACTGAAAAGTCAAGTTTTTTATGATATCAAAAAAGCCTGAATGGAACCAATTCCAAATAAATATAGACAATGAATAGTTGACTAGGACAGAATGCATTAAATATCTTGGCTTATACATAGATTACAAGCTCAACTGGGAACATCATATTGCTCAATTGTGTAAAAAAATTAGTCCTGCCATTGGAGTATTGAGACGTGTTACCTGCTACCTTTCAGCTGACTTAAGGAAGACTCTGTATCATTCACTAATTCATTCACATTTATCATATTTAACTCTTAGTTGGAGTAAAACTTCCCAAAATAGACTAAAACCCTCGCAAATTCTACAGAATAGAGCAATCAGAAAAGCTTTTCAACTTCCTTTTTGTCATCCTACTAATCTTTTGTATCGTCCAAATAATATTCTAGACATTCAGTCCCTCTCTAAATATCAGACATACATTTTTATTCATAACCTATCTCTGAATAATATACACTCATCCATACAACTGACTACTTCCTATAATATCCATAGATATAATACTCGGAATAATCGCTGCTTCAGAACCACAGCCGTAAAAACATGCTTTGGTGACCGAAGCATACTATCTGATGGTCTAAGACAATACAATGAGCTTCCTAGCACCATAAAGACATAAGGACTGACCTCTTTAAAAAAAACCAAAAGCTCACTTAATAGAATTTTCTTAGTTGATATCTTCATGTTTAAACAGGGTTTAAGTAATAGTGTGATATTAAATCACTGTATTTTTTTTTTTTTTATTTATTAATGGTCATTTTGTAGTAGTATTGTTATTATTATAACTAAGCAGGTACCGAATTCTTCTTCTGTGATATGATATTATAAAATTTGTACCTTTTAAGACCCACATAGTCTTAAGCTCTGGGTCTACATATACCAAATTGTATTCTTTTTTATCAATAAACTTGATGGAACCTTGGAACTCGAGTTACTGAAGGTGTTGACAACTTCTAATTTACACATTTCTAAATTTGACAACATTGCCACCAACTTAATTCAATCTTCTTATAATTATTACGTCTTAGAATATCAACGCTATCGTTTGTTTTATTCAGTTTTGTGATTCGAATTTTTATTTTCTCTAAACATTTAACATGCATGATTTTAGGCCTTCACGCTTACCTCCACCCACCATCCAAGTTATCTCATCAAACTTCCATATGTGACTATACTAATGGAAGATGGATTCCACTTTTCCTGATTATAATTATTATTAAAAATTTCCAATCACTCCACCTAACTTCCTCTTCGCCTCTTCACTCCTATTAAAAAGACCCAGTCAACCAAGTGAACCGAGAAAATCTAGAGAAAACTGTATAAGAAGGCAACAAACATTAATGGAGACTGGTATACATTATCCCCAAGTAGCAGGTAATAAAATACAACCATCGGTACTGATCTTATAACTTCAATGCTGCAAACAATAATGAATCAAATGGATAAAGAGGAAGAATTCAACAAACATTCTGGAAAAGCTGAACAAAATGACTCATGGTCAAATTAAAATGATATCAGATCTATAATACCATTCATTCAAACAATTCAGCTTGAGGTGGAGCTTCTTTATTAATAAAAAATAACATGAGGAAAAAAGAAAAACTGAAGAAATACAACCTGATAGAATATCTGTTAAAACAAAAAAATATGTACGTGTAATTTTGTCGGTCCTATAAATTTTATCTTGACGCTCCTCTTTTTTCTGTTGTCCTCCTACTCTACACATTCTTCTTACCCCAATAGCTCACAGAACTGATTCCTTCGTTATTTTGTGTAGATAGTTTCTTTTCTAGGATACCAGGAATCGGTTCTATCAACTATTAATTATTATTCTCCCCTTCACTAACTTGAATTATCCACTTTCCTCACCTCATCTCCTTAAAAATTTACTTCCTTATACTTCTCACACCCCCCCCTCCCTTCTTCTCTTTTAGTTTAATCATAAGTCCTCATGGTTTGGTTCAATATATTTAAGGTTTTGTTCAATTACCACATTAGGTTAGACAACTTCTGGATATTAGTTTTTTAATGGGATTTATGACCCACATTTTTTTTTTAGCAATAAAATTCTACGGTAAATGACTGAGTTTTCTTTCCTTAGTAAATATAAATAAAAATATACAAATCACCATTATTTACTAGCAAAAAGTCCACACCTTCCTTCTACTTATAGCATTAAAATAAATTGTCAATGATCTAATTGAGAATATTGGTATATTGGCTGTAAACATTCCATAATGTTGAGAATGCAATACGAATTGGAAAATCATAAAATAAATTGCCTGGAAATTTCCAGCCAAATTGAGTCATTCCATTCAGAATTCCTTTCGATATTGTCAAATTCTTGTGTGACACTTTGAAGAATCCCTACAGTTTTTATTTTAGTTACGATATAGTCGTTTAAAGGAGAGTAGACACAAATTAATAAATAATGAATCTACTGAATACAAGTTTAGATATTATTATCAACTAATATATTGAGTGTTATGAAATTCTTAATTTCTACTTTTTGTATTCTAATATTAATAGGTATATTATTTTAACTTAAGTGTCTTTAAAAAGTCACTGGACCCGTTATGTATTATATATTCTTCTCTAACCATTTAGAAATGACATATACTCTTTTTTATAATTATTTTTCTCTTATTTCATTTCAAAATCAATTATTTAGATTACTAGCCACAAACAAATTGTATATCACTAGAACATATGTAAGTATTTGACCGTGTAACGAAACCGTTTAAATATAAAAAAATAGAAAAGAAACCGTATAAAAGTGTCTACAAACATTCACCAGGAAATGATTCAACACAAATCGCTAATGAATTAACGGACCAAATTTCGAAATCAAACAGGAAGCACAACAAATAAATTCGCCACAGAAAACACTTACACCCTTACAGGGCGGTTTGAAAACTATTTGAATGATTTAGAACGATAACAGTTGGGCGAATGTCGTAAAAAATTAGTTCAAAAGTTTAATACTGATTTAGAACATTTGACTTAGCTACAATTTTGAAAAATATTATTTAAAACAAAAATAAGAATTATAAAAAATATTAAGACTATACCAATTTTTCAAATTATTATTTATTATTACTTTTATTATTTTTCGATTTATCTGATATTTTATTATTCTAGTTATCAATCATTTTAGGACTTATGTTTATGAATTTAAAATTCGACCTACTAATTTCATGTTTTTTAGTTATGTTTTTCAAAATTTGAACATACCCAGGCAGCACACAATTTTTTATTTTTTTATCTTTACTTTGCGATTTAAATGTTTTTTTTTGTTCAAAAAATAATTACCTATTTAAGTATTTTTACGTAATTTATATTAATAATTAATTACACTTGATATTTACTGAATTTTATGTCTTATTTATTTTGTTAAATTTTGATGAGAAAATGATGTTAAGTTTACTCACTTATAACGAACCGCAAAGTTTTTAAATTGGTATTTTGTATCAATAGAAAAAAAATAGAGATAGGTTTTTTTTTATAGTAATTTGGTTATGGTAGTCTGAGGTATCAGTTCATTTTGGAAAAAAAGTTTCAAGTCCAAAATAGTTTGGAGCAAAACACATACCAACATCTTTTGCAAATGATTTTTATATGTTTAATATTTGGACTGCGGCTAAATTTTTACATAATTATTTCTAAAACCGTTTCTTTCTTCGATTTGCAACAAGAATCTCTTTTTTGTGTAGAAAAGAACGTTCTTTTGGAAAATGTATTCAGATACTACAGACAGTTAATAGAGAGATATTGCAAATTTCTATAACGCCAGCCACTAATAGTGACATCGTATTTAGAGTCAAATAAATTCCATGCTAAAATCAGACTTATTGCAAACCCGAAATTTTGACATTAGAATCCTTGTCCTTATACTTATTTTTAACCTCATTTTAATAACTTTAAATTATAGTTCATCTTTTTTGTTGTCTATAATAGTAGGTACATAATATTAAAGATACATTAGAAATTATAATTTTAGAAGGTTAGATGACGGTTATCTTAAATATTTAATATTAAAACTTCGAACGGATACGAATGTCGGCGAGCGCATCCGAAAGCTATAAAGTCGTCACTACCTGCTGTCTTTAAACATCCACAATTAAGGACAGGCACAATCTTTAATGAAGTCAATTTTAGAACATAGGTAAATGATCTGCGCATGCTTAGATGTCAAAATAAGAGCGGCACTAATAGTGACTGGCCTTAAGTGAACTTGCAATAACTCTCTACTAACACATTGCGTGCCACGCTATTATCGGGAAAATAGCCCCAGGAGCCAAACTACATTTTTGCAATATTTGTATGTATTTACTCAAAATAAAGGTTTTTTTTGATAATTCTCTCAAATATGATCGACGCAAGTTTTTTAGAGGTTTCTCTTTTTTCTTTTTGCATTGTCGAAAAAGTTTTCATTTTGTTATTAGAATAAGCAAACCCAGAATAAATTTTGTTTCATATTAGGAATAGGCTGTTTCAAAATAATTTTTGTTTTATTACGCAAAATAAATATTTTTTTCAGTTTTTTTTCTTTTTGCAGTTGAAAAAAGTTTTCACTTTGTTTTTAGGATAAGCAATTTCAGAATAAATTTTGTTCCATTATTACGAATAGGCTATTTCAGAATAAATTTTGTTTTTATTACGCAAAATGATATTTTTCAAACATTTGTCGTGGTAAATTTATTTTTCCAAATTTGCTCAAACCAAGACCAATATTACTTTCCCCAGAGGCCAAGCTTGGGATTCTCCATTTGAAATAACGGTAGCGGGAGGTATCACATTTTTTGATATACATCGCCAGAAAGTGAGAGATGCGTGTCTCTCATAAATGAGCGACGAAGCCCCTGGCGAAATGTTTGTGTCTCGCATATATGAGAGACGTGGTACGCAATGTGTTAACAAAAAAATATTGTTAAAAATAACCTAAATCATTAGAAGTTCGTCACAAAAAAGGGAGGTCCTAGTTTACGGAAAAACAGAAGGTGAGGACCTTTTTTTAGATTTAATTAAGAAAGGATGTGATTTTTTAGAAATGTAACATAAAAAAAAACTTAATTTTTTTATAAAAAAAACCCCGGGTCCGCACGTTGGCTCTTTTGTAAGCTAGTAATTAAAAAAAAAACTTTTTAAAATTTTAATTTCCAAAGCCACTATCTCCATCAATACGCATTTTTGAACCTATGTTTATATAAACATTTTTATAAGCACTATCACCCTTCGAAATATTTTATTCCATTTCTGATAACACCCTGTACATATAAACATTATTTTTTATATGGTTCACCCTATAGGCCATTAAAATAGTCAAAACCCACCTAATATAATTAAAACCATTTAAAATCAGCCTGCGAGGCTTCTATCACAACTCATATCTATTTACAACCGAGGGTGGCAAACTCGCCATCTGCAAGGGAATCCCTCAAATCGTCCGATACTCGTCCAATAATTACCTAAAAACCGTTACGAAAAATCCTCTCCTAACATCAAAATCCGTTACGAACAACTGAACACCGAAAACGTGATTTCATTTATCCGCTTACCAATACGCACGAAGTCCGGATTTTCTACCAATGAGGGTGAGTCCGTCGCCCCACCCCGCGCACGCTTGGTGCTTTGCCTAGGCGGGGTTGCGAAGTTATTGGGGGGCGCCCAACCGAAGAAGTTGCTTGCCAGAAATGCGAATTACGAATTAGTTGGCCGTGATACTCGACGAGGGATGCCTCGTGTCTCGTATCAACATGAAAATATGGAATTTGCGACGTTCAGAAGTCACTATAGTCTTCAAAGATTCGCTCTGCAACCGCAATTCTATCACATACAGCAACAGTTGTTCAAGTTTACCGAGCCTTTGGAACTGACCACAGCTATCCCTCTAGATTTGAGCGTAAAGAATCACAACACTCAGTCTCCAATCACACCGCCTTGTACACCTAGTCCAGATGGAAAGAAAATACATCGGTCACCAACTCCGGACATACCTACGAAAAAACCGAAGATAATTACTCTACTTTCCGCTAAGAAAACCAAGGCTACAAGAAAACTAAACTTCGAAGAAGATAACACGTCGCCTGTATCGGGCACCATCATCAGAGAATTACGACCCGATGAAAACCTAGTTGTAAGAAAAGGTGACATAGATCCGGCGTTCAATGTTGTGGAAATTACAGAAGAAGCTAAGGCGGAATTGTCGAAAATCGAAAACCTTATAGGCGATTACGTTTGTCAGCTGTGCAGAGAATTGTACGAGGACGCTTTTGGTTTGGCGCAGCACAGGTGTTCAAGAATTGTAAATATTGAATATAGATGCCCCGAATGTGATAAAGTTTTTAATTGTCCAGCTAATTTGGCGTCGCACAGAAGGTGGCATAAACCTAGGCAACCTAAGGAGTTTAAAAATGGTGGAGGAGAAGGAGATCAAGGTAAGGCTAATTATTAATCTTCTTTATTTTTTGATAACAGGTAGATACTTTATGCCTTTCCTGTCTAGTTTTATCCGGTTATTTTAAACAACCTATTGCATCACCCCCTTAAGTGTTTAGAAGTTGAACTAATAATACACATATCTTACTGAACACATTTTTTATACCGGGTGTTCCAAGAAAGTAGGTCAATCTGTTAACCATAGATTCCCTATTTATATATTCAATATACAGGGTAACTTGCAACTAGCTCCATCTATGAGGTACGTACTATTTAGGCTCAAATTATGATTTGTCATCCCAAAAAATTCTTTTCTTCAAGTTTTTCCATTACGGTCTATTTTAGAGAAATCATGTATGAAACAAAAATTATAGGGAATGATATCGCAAATAGCTTTTATCTAAAGAATTTTCTGCTCCAATCGTAAATAACAGAGATATTCCTTAAAATAAATAAAAAACAACATCCTATAAAGTATCCCCCCCAAATGTTTCGACTGTGTCCAAAAGTTTAAGTTTAAAATTTGGCGATTTTCTCTTGATTTGCACTTTTCCTAAAATATCTCCAATACGGTCCATTTTAGAGAAATTATTTATGGGCAAAAATTATAGAGAATTATATCGCAAACAACTTTTATTTGAACAATTTTCATAAAAATTTGATTTTTTTTACATTTTGTCAAATTTCTCGAATACGGACCATTTTAGAAAAAAATTGTATAGAACAAAAATTATAGGAAATAATATAAGAATTAACTTTTATTTAAAAAATTTTCTTCTTTAAACGTAAATAACAGATATATTTCATAAAATATAAAAATTACCCATTATAAAGTACCCCTCCAGATGTTCCGACTCTGCCCAAAATCTAATCATTTCACCGCAGGCCGGAATAAAGCTGAAGAGTGAATATGATGGCCATATCACACAAAGACTAAGTTTGAGCACCAGGGTCGCCGAGAGCCAGATGGAGACTCGGGACAATTTTTCAGGTGGGGCCCCGCTACAATTTTATAAAAAAAATAAGCCCTTTCAATACCTATCACATTTCAAAAAAAAGGTTCGTAAGGTCCCAAAAAAGGTTCGTAAGGTCCCAAAAAAGGTAAAAAAGGTCCAAGAAGATCCAAAAAGGTACAAAAAAGGTCCAAAAAGGGACAAAAAAGGTACAAAGAATGGTCCAAAAAAAGGGTTTCATCTTGTATTGTTGCGAACTTCTTAAAAAAAATAAAACGTCCTCACCTAAAGCTGCCGGGCCTCCACTTGTGCCCAGGCCCCGGGAATTTGTCCCGGCTACCCCCCTCTCGTCGGCCCTGTAAATGTCTGAGTATGATACGGACAATCAACTCGAGTTGTACAGTATATTTTTTTTATGACCCACTATCGAAAATGTAAAAAATAATTTAGGTAATTAAGATAAAAAATAATTTAAAAAAATATATAACTTTTACTAATTTATATACCTAATAAAATAAACTTTAATTAATTAGTCTCCAATTATTGTAGAATTGAACCCGGAACCACTGCATGCATGAAAGCCAAGTGCACTAGTATCTGCTCCATCGCCTCACACAACATTATAATGTTAATTCTTGTAGTTTTATTAAAATTTATGGTTTATTTGTAAATATAGACGAAATAAAAATAGAAATGCTATTATTTATCGATTCTACACAAGAATAACTCATTTTAATGTGTATTTAATCTCAATAATCAAAATATAAACTAACAATTAATTTGAAAGAATTGTCACTAAAATTTAAAATTACCAATAAAATAATAGTAACCGGTTGACCAAAATATGAACTGTGATTGGAGATGTCTATTTTTTACAGTGTTCTTACTAGGTAGAATGGATATGAAATATATATTCGTTCGGTTGAACGCAATGGCATACTTTTTTATTTTGTAGTCTGTGCGTAGAATAGCCAACATCCATGTGGGTTTAGAAAAAAATATTTTTTTAAGTTTATTTTATTTTATAAATTACTAAAAGACATAAATGATTTTTAAAAACATCATTTTTTTATTTTTTCAAAACTATTTTCTTTTATTATTACATTACACCCGTGTCAATGACCTAAAGTAATCAATATACCAACATTAATTAAAAAACAATTTGTTATTTTCTATTGTGCAGTTACATTTTAAAAGTCAAATTATCCAAAAACGGTTCTCTCTATCGCGTTTAAACAAGAATACCTTTTTGTAGGAAAAACTATTGAAATTTATTTTCTCAAAAAAAATTTCTGAAAAGATAAAATTAAAAAAAATACTGGAAAGAATACCCAACCCATCCCCTTAAACTATCATTTTAAAATTTATTTTTGTTTTTGTTTTACCATTAAATCAAATGATATAAAACTTTTAAGTTCTCCAAGAAATTTGGAGTTGATAGTTTGCTCCGATTAGAAGTTAAGACAGAAAAACTGTGATTTTTCCATTCCCTCTTTGAATTTCTTTAACTCCCTTATTTCAAAGTATCAGATATTATATTAGTTTATATAGCAAACTATTCTTAATTTTCATTGTTATATCACCTTCTAAAATATGTGTATTCGTTTTTGGCTCACCCCGTATAAATTAACTTAAAACTAAATAAATTCGAAAATTAGGTGTATATATATAAGGAAAAAAGATGCATTCATTTAATTAACAATTTTTGAGCCATAAATATGTCCGGAAACCCAGACGATATTGGCACATTCTAATTTGGACAAAACCAGTGAAGAAAAAATGATTTTCATTGTTGTTCATATTCCTTATAAAAACCCAAAATTCGATAAGCATAACAGTTATTTTTTTATGTGATATGTAGAAGTTTATTTTGGATAAAAGAAAACACCAAGATCTTTAATAAATTCTGGTTGATTTAGTGTAGAATTTTGAAAATTATAATTATATAGTACAATTTAGTACCTAAATGTCATTACATTACACTTTTTAATATTAAACGGTTATTATTTATTTTGCTCCATTCGCCTTGAAGCAATATAAGTAAAAATGTTTAGATCACCGGCAAACCATAAATTTGAGACGCTCTATTTGAATTCCTATTTCAGACTCTGAAGAACAATTCCAATGCCCCGATTGCGGAAAACGATTCCGAAGAATAGCTTACCTCAAGAAGCACCAATCCAGCCATCACATAGAACAACAAATAGACGAAACTTTTCAACAGATTGAATGACATCGGCTGGTCCCAGTCAGACCTATTCCTAGGATGCCGACCCGCCTATGGAGACCGCCTCCATTGCCTCCTCCCGGCGCGATTTGCGCCGCCGAGACGGCATTGCAGTTTGAGAGGTACATCTCGCCGAACGTCACTTGGTTAGAGCATTTCTGACGATCGTTGATGTAGATATTATGAATATATAATAGATTTCTTAAACAGGGTATGTAAAAACGTTTAACAAAGATTTCCACTCTTATTTTTTTAATTTTTCAATGGAAAATAGGGATTTAAATGTACATAAAATGACTATTTGCTAATCCTGAAAAATACCATAATTTCTAATTATCACGCCCTTATTTTTACTATACAGGGCGATCAAACTTTAAAGTGCTCTTCCTTACAGTTTTAACATATAAATAGATACTTATAAGTCTCAAACGCTTCTATTTTTAAAATAAAGGGTATTGAAATATAGGTATATAGAATATTAAAAAAATGTTTTTCGTAAATATACCGAATCTCAAAATTAAATTAGATCGACAAAAAAATCAGTGGAGTACCATTTTTTTTTAAATTGAATCCCATCAGTTAACCCTGCGCGCGCCACTGGTAAAAACAAAAAACTTGTTTGCTTTATGTAAAATGTTTCAACTTGATACAAATTTTCGTTATCTAGATATTTTGAAAAAGCTTTTTTTGTACATTTCAATACCTACCCTGCATTTTGAAAATAATGCTCCGTTTAGGACCTATGTTTATATGACCTCTTTGTCTTAAAATTGAAAAAGGAAGAGCATTTTTAAAACATCAAATACTTTTTTCTTTAGGTCCCATAAATTAAACTTTTAAAATTCGAATAAATTTCAGTGATTTTAATATTTCAACAAAATAATTTTCAAAAAAGCAAAAATTTAGTCAACTTTGTACAGATTTAAATGAAAACAAACTAAAGAATTTATTTGGAAAATTGATTGAAATTTATTAATTTTTCAGCACAATACCAAATAACTTGTGAATATGTAAATTGTGTAAAAATATATATACCATATCAGGTTTCAGATATTGATCTCAAATAGTTTTTAATCTTTATCTATAAATTTTTAGATTTACTTGGTTTTTTTAATTTAGTGAATTCAATTCTCGCATAGAACAGAAACTGTATACTTTTTCAGTTTTGTGTCAAACATATCTATTCATTTACTAAGTAATGCAGTAGGTATCATAAAAATTGTGAAATTTCAGTTAATCCAATTTAAAATACAGTCATATTTTTTGGGGATATCTATTATAGACAGATTTTAAAACAATTTCAAAAATATTTCTTTATTTTAAAAAATGTTTTTTTGAAAACAATAACATTATATTTTTGTTAATATATTAACCTATACATATCTAATACTTACTATTTGACTCTAACTATTAGGCTGTCCAAAACAGCGGGAGACTACTATCAATCTATATCTGACAAACTGATGAACGGATTTTTTAAAACTTGGTAAAAATAGTAAACAGATCATGATCTTTTTATCTAAAATATTTTGACAGTTCTGTCATTTCGCTTATAACGAAAATAAATATCAATTTTTTTATAAGTATATGAAACCCTTATTTTATTCCCAATTCCAATAGAATATGATATTTTAGGGTCACTATGTATAGCTTAAATTGGTACCTAATTTATGAAAAAAAAAAACATATTTTCGAAAAAATTACCATTGAAATAATATTTATTTTTGGCTAAATACTAGTAGTTAAAATTTTAAAATTTTTTAGGTAATTACTTTTTCACAATATTAAAGATCTTTTATTATACACTCGATCTTAATCGGTTTTTGACAAAAAAGCAAACATTGAAATAACTAACGATTTTTAAGATAAATATTAAAACTTATATAAAAAGTAAAAAAATCGCTGTGAACGTCTTATTTTATGAATTCTAATTTTATTTTAACGAAATAATAGCATATAAGTAGATGCTCTAATCAGTAGTGTAGCCAGAAATTTTTCATTCTGTAATTTTGTTCTTATCGATTATTACCAAATCGAAGCCTTTTTCTTTGGTCACCAAGATCTTCTGGTCCCACACCTCTCTATTTTTTATATGGGGCTATTATTAAAGGAAAGGTCTTTTTTTCTAAAATAAGTTTTTTTTTCTATTTATTATACAAAATTTCATGTTCTATCGGAATCCGAAATAAAAATAGGGATGTCCCATTTAAAATAAGAATGTTGGGCATCTACTTCTGATCTAAGTAAAAATTACGGATTTGTCCTACGGATTTGTCCTACGGATTTGTCTTACGGATTTGTCAAAACATTTTAGATGGAAAAATTATTATTACCAATTTTTAACAAAATCCGTTCTTTAATTTGTCAGATAAAATAGAGTCCCCCCATTGGTGAACGGTATATATAATAAAATATAACTGTGATAATTTCCTAGTAAAATAATTGTTTAAAATATAGCTTATTATTCTAAGTACGTACGTTTTTGAGATTCCGATTTTTTTTTACTTTTTGTTACAATTTTATTGTATAGGTACTAACATTTTATTAACATCTAGTCAATTTTTTTATGACTGTACATCCATTTAAATAGGTTTCACATCTATCTAGTCATGATTTTTAAACGCCTAAGTTATATAATAAAATTTAAAACTATCTAGTCATATTTATAATTCCATAACCATCTAGTCATATTTAAAATATTACGACCATTTTTAATTGTATAGCCCTCTAGTCATATTTATACTTTTTCAACCACCTAGTCATATTTATAGTTTTACAACCATATATAATTTTACAAACTATCTAGTCATATGTATAGTTTTATAACCATCTAGTCATATTTATAGTTTTATAACCATCTAGTCATATTCATAGTTTTACAACCATATTTTGTTTTACAACCATCTATAGTCATATTTATAGTTTTACAGTCATTTATAATTTTACAATTAGATATAATTTGACAACCATTTAGTCATATTTATAGTTTTATAAACATTTTTAATTGTATAGCGCTTTAGCTATATTTATAATTTTACAACCACCTAGTCATATTTATAGTTTTACAACCATTTATAATTTTACAACCACCTAGTCATACTTATAGTTTTACAAACATTTTTAATTTTATAACCATTTAGTCATATTTATAGTTTTACAACTATCTAGTCATATTTATAGTTTTACAACCATTTTTTATTTTACAACCATCTAGTCATATTTATAGTTTTACAATCATTTATAATTTTACAATTACATATAATTTTATAACCATTTATAATTTTACAACCATCTAGTCATATTTATAGTTTTACAATCATTTATAATTTTACAATTATATATAATTTTATAACCATTTATAATTTTACAACCATCTAGTCATACTTATAGTTTTACAAACATTTTTAATTTTGTAACCATTTAGTTTTATAACTATCTAGTCATATTTATAGTTTTACAACCATTTTTTATTTTACGACCATCTAGTCATATTTATAGTTTTACAATCATTTATAATTTTACAACCATCTAGTCATATTTATAGTTTTACAACCATTTATAATTTTATAACCATCTAGTCATATTTATACATATTTATAGTTTTACAACTATTTATAATTTTACAGTCATCTAGTCATATTTATTTTGTAACCATTTAGATAGTTATATTTATAGTTTTATAACCATTTAGAATTTTAAAACCATCTAGTCATATTTATAATTTTAGAACTATCTAATTATATGTAGATATAGTTTTACAACAAATTTTAATTTTAAAATCATCTAGTCATATTTATAATTTTGCAACCATATGTATAGTTTTACAACCATTTATAATTCTAAAACCATCTAATCATATTTATAGTTTTACAACCATATAGTTACATTTTATAATTTTACAACCATTTAGTCATAATTATCATTTATAATCTTACTTTCATCTAGTCATTATATTTAATTTTCTAGTGTTTTCTATTTATGTTCTAGTTTTTTAATTAACAATGGGTTTAAACATTTTCAGTAACTGATTTCTAAATCCATTGTTATCGCCAACAAGTATATATGATGTTTTTTTATACTTTTAAGTCATTTTTCCATTACTTCAGCTAGTCATTCCAAAATAATATAAATTTACAAATTAGATTTAAGATATTCTAAGAAATAATCTCACAAATGACGTTTCTGTGTTAATTAAATTAAAAAAAAATATAGAAACTCAAGTTTGGGTGACATCCCGTTCTCTAAAATAAATAATTACAGAAAATAATTTTTCTGTAATCTGTAAAATTTTCTAAATAATTTGTTACACAAAATTGTTGAAATCTAGTTATTTGTTTCTAATATAAAACTGTATACTCTTTAAACTGTATATTGTTTAATTATTAAAAATGGTCATTATTAGCTTATTAAGTTTTAAATATGATTAGATTTTTAATGTTTAATTCACCTGACAATTTTCTAAGTACCTGTTTAAATATATTTTATGAGTAATTAATTTTAAGTAAGAATACGATATTAAGAATCAAGGGATATTTTCTTAAATTTACGAAAACTTTGAAAAGCCACAAAGTATACAATTTTTAATTTTTTCGATTTAAAATTCAGAAAAAACTACTTTTCAACTTTATTTCATTTTTGTATCATAGAAACTAATTAATGAATTCTAATGGTATTGTTTTCAATAGACATATTTAATTTTTTTACAAAAAAGCGTTATTATAGGTGCTTTTTAAGATAATTTTTCTGCATTCTAAATAGTTTTTCGAAGCCCTTTCTTATAAAAATCTTTCAAATATCCATATAAAACTATATAATTTACATTTAAATAAAGAAATCATTATAAAAGCTAAGTTAACTTAATCCCTATGATCTGAAAATGAAATTAAGTAGGTCTCAATAAAAAAACTTATTATACTTAATGCTATCAAAACTAAAATTTTCAGTTTTATATTCCAAGACATTTTTCTGATTTAGAAGTCAGAAAAATAGAAAAAAAAAAATTTAAACTCTTCTACCTACGCTTATGATCATGATCATAAATGATCATATTCAACGTCTTTTGGAA